TTTATGCAGAGCAACCTGCCCTTTTTAGCTATTTGGCTAATTAGTAATGAAGTTACCTGGGGAAAAGGGAACATTGTAGGTTTATTATCTAAAATGTCCAGAAAAAAAACCTATATAGACATCACAACTCTTTGCTTGCATGATATGAAACTGGAAAACTCTGACTTTTGTTTTGTTCTAACAAACTTTGTGTTTAGACAAACACTTGAGATTTGAGCGTCGAATTCTGCTTCTACATGCATAAATGGCTCTCATTGAACTTATAGGTAGCCACATATTAGCACAGTGGGGATTACAGAATTTAGCTGAAATTTAAAAATACTGTGGATTAAAAGGATTGTGAGATGCCTTAACATAAACAACATTATATTCTAAGGAACAGAATTAGCATCCAGTGTTGCAGTCCATGCTGCAGCTAGTTTCTTTTATTTAGGGTTTGCTTTGATGCCTATTACAGGGATTTGGCCTGTGTTTAATTCAAAAATGTTTGTGTCTGGCATACATACAAAAGAAAACTTCTAGCAAGCTTTTTTCAGGGTTTTTTTGTTTGTTTGTTTTGGTTTTTTTTAATTATTGAACTATTTTGCATTCTATAAATCAGGTGCTTTTATTAGATTGTAATGGTTTTGGTATATGGTGTTCGAGTAGAGTTTTTCCGAAGAAAAACTGGACTGTGGCATGTTTAAGGAATCCGTAAGAAGGAAAGGTAATCAGATTTACTGGACATATAGTCTAAAATCCCTTCTGTTTCCTGTGCTCTTTCCTATGCTGACTTTTAACTGGCCCAAAGGGCCTTTATGGTAGGACTCAAGCAGCACGCCTTAGTAGGAGCTAGACGCTCTGTGATCTCTGAGGAGTTACAGTGAAGCACCTGTTTGTCTATACTTAGCATTGAAAGCTTCTTTCTGTCTCAAGGTAGATTCCTTAGCAAATGCTAGTGCTCCAGAGTACAGCCCCGAGTGCTGCTCCCCTGTGATAGCGTGATGCTGCGTTGTAGGATGAAAGATGCAAAAGGAGACCATTTAAGTATCAAAGAATTTTTTTACCTAATCAAATCATATCTGTAAATCAACCTGATAGTGCGAGTAAGTAGACAGCACATCTATTTAAAAAACAAACAAAAAACCCAACCAACACACCAAGTTGTTCTGTGACAAGACATCATCGGCTTCTTTTTTGTCTTGCATCAAGTGATACCTGTGTCTGTCTGGACAAACACTCATTTAACCTGGCTACCAAACCTCAGTGGATCTATTGACTGAGCAATTTCAGTGTTTGGCTGCCCTTATTTCTGCTAAATTGTATAATCTGAATCTTTTTTAGGCTGAATTAGGTTGTTCAGTTCTTCTATACAGGTCATATTTTCTTAGACCTCTGATCATTCTTGATTTTCTCTTTTGGACCCTTTTCAGTAGCATGTGTCTTATCTAATGCGACCACTGTATTTCAGTGGGGCACTTGTTACCAGTGCTGAGAAAAGCAGAGAGGTGACACGGAGAGCTGAAGTTTGCAGCTCCATTGTATTATGTCTTCCAAGAAATCCATATTCAGTAAAACATAACTTCCTGAAACCTTAATTCTTCTTTTCAAGGTTATATGGGGTATGCCACCTTTAATGATATAATGGCATGCCATAAAGCCCGTATTTCTACAAATTCCGAGTTGCAGCAAACACAAGCTGCTTCTCTGCCAGTCCTACAGATGAACTTTTAGCTTTCTCTGGAGGAACACTGTATCTGTTTAAATTGACAGCTTCTTGAGCCCCCTTTTTATGATTCCTGTGCTCTTGTGGCCAGGAAGTGACCTGGGGTAACACTTAGTCCATGTTTGAATTCACAGGTGCCCTTCTCTTTCAGCCTAGCTACTGGTAGTCCTTCCATCCCGCAGGGCCACTTGTGTGACACTTGGGACATAAGCTACACGATGAATTGCTCACCTTAGGCTTTTAGATAAATCAAGACAGGTCGTGTGTGACCAAAGGAAAAACTACGGCACAGCAGAGGGATGTGATCCCTTAGATTACCTTATCTCAGTCACAGCTCTGCGAGACTGCTGCTCCTGTGATCCCTTCCCTGTTCGCTGTAGCTATAGCAAATGCATCTAGAATGCACGCAAGTAAGTTCTGTTGGCTGTTGCCAGCATAAAGGGACAGCGTCGTAAGACCTGTATGTTGACTTTTTCTGGGGTTTGGGTCTTGGAAAGATGAGTTCTGCTGAAATGGGTTTCTGGCAGTGCATGCTGTTGTACCCAGTGATCTTCACCATGTGCAGGGGTTGCAATGTTTTTCCTCTCATTAAAAAACAAAACTAAACACCCCAATGCAGAAAGGTTGCCAATTTGTGAAATGATTGATGGACTACATTAATATTTTTAATGTTTCTGCTACCTATCAAAGTCTCTTAATGCTGTACAAAATGGCGTTTATTGGATGTTGACCAAAGGATAACTTGTCTGCTGCAATTTGAACTCTTGCCGTAGACTAACATTTCAGAATATGTTGTGTCAATGCTTTATTTTCGTATCAAGATTTCAATTTTTTAAAATACTGAGAAGGTAAAGTGGGGGGTTGGGACACATTCAAATTATTGTATAGTTCAAAGCAAAATGATGTAGTGAAAAGATAACCACTACGTGCTTCAGCAGCATATTAACAGATCATCATTTGATGCCCAAGTATATGAAAGCATGAATAAGGCTGGAGGTCTTGGGGAGGGTAGCTCTGATAAATATAACATGTGCTTCAATTTCAAGGCTCGGTGGTTTTCACCCAGCAAGACTATGCCTGTGGTGGTCTAGGAGTGAACATATTGTGTGGCTTCCAAGTGACTCAGCACTGTTCCACCAGCAGCGAAGTAGAACTAGAATTGCTATAATCGTCCAGCAGAGGATCAGCTTTCATGGCACAATCTGTTTCTTTTCTCAATTGCCGAGCAGCATATAATAGGACTTAACAGGGAAAAAAGAGGAGGAAAAATAGCAGAACTGAAAAATTCTTGGCATTTTTGCAAAACTGGATTTTTCTCACTCCTTCAGTTTAAAGAGCAGGGAAAAAACTTGTGTCTTCATTTCAAGTAAATTGATAACTGTTTAAATGTTGCTGACAGTTGATCAGATATATTTTGCCGTATTATCAATGATACTAATTTTTATTTTCTCAGATTATAAGGTTGGTGGATAAGGTGTGAAGTCTGGTTGGCAGAGCAAGCTGTATGATGTATGTGACTTGAAAACGTTGTCTATGGAAAATGACAGGTCACAGAGCTGTGAAAGGAAATAGAAGTATGTAGGTAATACAGGTTAGGAAACGGTTTTGATATGCCTCTATTTTAGCTGAGGATGGGAGGGGTCTGTTTTTGTTGCTGAGTGACTGGATTAGGCCTGCTCTGCTGTTCCCAGGCAAGTTTGTAGTGTATGAGAGTCAGGGCTGTGAATGTACCGGTAGCCGTTGTCATCCAAGCCCAGTGAATTGGAAAGGTCGTGTGATGAGAGAAATGAGGTCAGGCCGAGAATTGGCAGTGCTCAGGGTTTCAGCAAGAGCAACGCAATGGCTGGACCTGCCTGTTAAAATAAATGATACACAGTGAGAGTAAAGCTTTCTAGTTGGACTTAACAATTCTATTAAGACAGCGGTCTTCGTAAAAAAGCAATTGATAGGATTGCTGATGTCATTCTCTATTTAAAAAAAAAATAAACACAGCTGGAAGGTTTTTTTGAGCCATTTTAACCAAATATAATCTTTTTTATTTTTCCTTCTTTTTTGAGCAATTTTGACCAAATATAATCAGGTAACAAGTCAAAGATCTTTAGGTACTGATTTTCTTTTCTGTGTTCTAAAAAAGCGGGTTTTAAAATCTTTTAAGTCTTGCATGCCTAAACCAAATTTGTTTGTAATTGACCCACTGTTGAATTGGGGAGAAAAAAAGCTTCTGGGTATGGCATGTCAGAGAATAGCTAACAATATTAAATCAGTCAAGAACGTGCCGTTTTGGTCTTTCGAGATACTATAATACAAAGCATGATTGAGTTTGTTCGAGGTAATTTTCTATTAATGAAGTGACTGCTAAAATTCGATTCTCTATTGTGCCACTTCCTTCTGTGAGTTGCAAATGCTTTTGGATCCTGTTGTAGGTGAGCACTCATTAAACACTGATGCTGAGATAGCTTTTCCTGTGTAATTACTACTGATATTATCAATATACTAGCACAGTGTAATTCCCTTTCAAGTGCATTTATTCTAGAATAAAGACGCAGGAAGCAATACGCATAATAATAATGCAACATAACATTCTCCGTCATAAACTGGGTCCATAAGGGGAGGGAGATAGTGTCAATTTAGGATCAATGTAAACGAGCCTTTGTTGAGCTCTGTGAAACTAGGTCTTTTTGAGCACTCTTACCTAATCAGCCGTTTTCTTTCTCATCTTCTATGTCTTCTACTTCAGCTGCATATGCCCTTCTGGATTTTTCCCTTTAAGTTGCTTGAGAAGTTATTCTTTTGGTTAGCCCCTCTTTCTTCTCCTTCCGTCTATTGGGTTATATTTTTGTCACAACAGGCTTGGAAATGTGTTTAAATGCTGAAGCTGAATTACGTTTATACATTTTGGTAAAAACTTGGAGATAAGGAATTGTTGGATTCTCTGAAACTCATTGTTATACGTATGTTTGCGCGGATGTCCAATTTTTTTTTTTTTTTCACAACTATTTTTCAAAACAGTTACTTTTGACTTCTGCCTTCTACCTCTTGTAGAACTGTATAGTTTTCACACTTCTATATTGAATTAGTGACAATTTTAATTGGCTCTTCTTTACACAGTCTGGTTTTCAAAAATCCTCCAAAAAAAAAAAAAAAGCTTGCCTCCAATCTTGCTACTGTTTTTAAAATGTGTGCATGAAGTCTTTAAAAAAGTACTAAGACACATGCGAAATCCCGCATGTATCGTAGATGAATTTCTCAGTGAGGGCCCAATGCTGGTTTTGCAATCAATGTTTTTTAAAAATAGACATTTTGGCCAAGCTACTCTTCTCCTTTCATAGTGCTGAAAGTGTCAACTTGAACTACAGCCCTAATTCTGTCTGAAATGGGGTAATGTCATATATTTAGAAGTCTGTATGTGAAAAATGATTTATTAATATGTCTGTTTTATTTCAGGAAGATGTGGAAACAGGAGTCCACCTTGATCCTGCTATCAAGGAAGTTCAATACAATCCCACTTACGATACCATGTTTGCACCTGAGGTAAGAAACAATATTGATCTTTAGAGCAGAAATGCCTTTGGCTTAAAGGGCAGAGTTTCTATAAATCTCGTGTGAAATTCATATAAAACATATCTTCTTTGGATGGTTGGTGTATTTTGAAATTTTGTTTGGGCAAGTTGAAAAAAGATTTTACACAGGTTTGTTGGTATTTTTAATGCTTAAATTTTAATATTCTGCATAAAGCTGTTCTAAGAAGAATCTTAAAGTTTTTATCAGAATTATAGCTACAGAAATTAAGAATCAAGCTAGGAAAATAGCATTATAAAGTTCTTGAGTAAAATGTGAACTGCGCTAAAGTAGTCTTACTGTTTTCATGTTTTCCCTATTTACTGATCATGCTATGTAGAGCAAAATGAATGGTTGTAAGTCTTGCAGCTATACGGAGGAGGATTTAAAATTAAAATCTAAGTACTTTCAGTATAACTTTTCACATCAGTGTTAAGTACTTTAGCAACTTAAGCTATGCTAAATGTGTATAGTGAATAACCATTTTAAGCTGAATTTGGACTGCCTGTTGCTGTGTGAACCATTTTGTATTTTATTATAACTGACAGGCTATCTGAAAGATAAAAATAGCTGTCCATTTAACTTTTTTCGGTATTTAACTTCTTTGTACAATTTGTCTTCTGTTAGACGAGGGATTAGCACTCTAGGTAGACAAAGGCTGCATCAGTCTGAAATTTCTACATTAGTTATGCTTTATGTTTAGAAAACCTTTTGTGGAACCACATAAATTAGTCTTTTCATAGCAAGCTTGCATTTTGCAACATTTCAAAGCCATGAAGTGTGTAAGCAAAAATACTGATTTAAACTTGCTACAGTGTTACCTTGTGTAAGTGCTTTAGTTAGGGAAGCCTAACATGGGACAGCCTCAGGTGTCTACAAATATGTCTAACAAACATAGGGTTACAATTAAATTTAGCTTGATATTAGTCTCAGTGTATTGCATTTGTTTGTATTCACTGTTCTTTTCCGTAACCATGGTATGGTCAGGAAGACTAGCATTTGTCATCTCGCAAGAAGAAAAGCAAGGAAGGGTTTCATAAGTGTATTTCCTGGAATAATACAGCAAGTCCTCAGTTGCTTTTTAAATGCACAGAAGTATTGTGGGCAGTGTAGTTCCCATATTAAATATGTGAGTTTAGTATAAGCTGATATCTCTTTCTTGATATCTCCCCCTTACAAGGGATACTATGCTGTGGTTTTGTCTTCTGAATGCTTGTACTCAGCACATACTGAATGGCAGTGTTTTCTGTCAAGTAGTTGATATTGATTTGTCTTCTGTACCAGTAATACAGGCTAGAAAGTTCAATCATGAAACGAGCTGTTCAAAGCAACTGTGTAAGCAATTGCTGTGTAAAATAACAGAACAAGAAGCTTATTCAGTAGTGATAAGGGAATGTAAAGTTGAAGTCATTTTGCGTTTTTTTTTTCCTGTGGTTTTTTTTTTCCTGAAAAAGTACAGACACATAAATAAGAAATTAGTAATTCTGATATACTTTCTTTTAACATTGATGTAGTTTGGACCAGAAAACCCATTTAGGACTCAACAAATGGCTGCACCTAGAAATATGCTTTCTGGATATGCAGAACCAGCTCACATCAATGATTTCATGTTTGAACAACAAAGAAGAACATTTGCAACCTATGGTAAGTCCTTAACAGTAGAGTTCACTTCCACCTTTATTATGTCCAGGTTGGACAAAATGAGTTGTTCTCTATAGAACAGTTAATAGGACTGCAAGTTTGTTAAATTGCTTTTTTAACAAACTTCCTAAAATGGGGAAAGGGCTTTGAATGAGAATCCATATGGTTGGAGATCATAATAATATTTGGGAAATCTCATTTTGTAATTCCTTTTGAAACTGTAATCAAGTGTATGACCTCCTACCAAACTCCTCTTAATTAATCCTTCTATTAGTTGCATCAGTGTAGAAAACACAAATCAAAATTTCACACTTTTAATACGACAAATAACTGTAGATCTGTTATGCAAATAGATTCTTTCATGTGATTCTAACTAAAGGTAGCTCTCTCAAAACCGGAAGGAAGCCTTACTGAGTTGTCAGGTTCTTCAAAGTGGTTGCCTCGAGATACAAGCTGAATTAACAGGAATCGAAGAAAGTGGGAATACATTACTGAAATATTCTTAGCAAAGACAGACCCAAAGAATTCTATATTGGTGGTCATTATAGTTGCTGCTTTCTTATCTTGAAGAGCCTTTTCGCTTGTAAATGGTTGCATTTGAAAAATGAAACTTTTGAGTTTTGAAGAGGCTTAAGTTTCAAATAGACTTTTTATAGATTGTAAGAAAAATTGATTATTCTTTTTTAATAGGGAAAACACGAAAAGACCATGGATTCTAAGCATTCTTTTGGACACATTTGAAAGAACAAAACTGCCGTGTATTTGCATATAACAGTGGTTAATTTTTTCTTCTGTGTCTTATTGGAAGCTTTCATTTCTGTTTCAAATTTAAAACAGAAATTGAAAATACTGTTTTCATTTTCTGTTTAAAAAATGCTTATCTTGCAAATATGAATCTTTGTTTTCAGGTGAAGTATCACTTTATATTCGTCAAATTCAATCTATTAGGCAAGTTCTGATACTTCCTGTGTAAACTTAGTGTCACAACACTTAACTTCTTGCACAACAGACTTGTGTCTGGCTTTATTTGTATTTACATTCAAAATACTACTCCCTGCAAACTGTCATGCCTCGACTACTTCCCTACGCACGAGTCCCCTTAAATTCATTAGGGCTTTATGCCTGCATGAATTCACTTACTGCATTCTGTGATGGACGAGATTGGGACTTTAGTGCTAAATCTGTGGGAGCCATGTATTATAGTGAAACCTAGAAGAAAAAATTACCTAAAATCAGAGACCTTGGTTTCTCTTCATATTTTGGTTTTATTAGAGGTTTTCTCATAAATGTTAAAAATTGAATTTTTTTTTTTCTTTTACAGAGTTTTAAATAATAGGTACTTTTCACTGAGTTGTTAGGATGTGGAATATCAGCAAAATGCCAATATTAAGAAATGGATGTCTAGTTCCATAGCATAACTTTAACTTACTTGACTGCAATTTTGATGCTAGAACTTGACAGACAATGCAGGTAGGAACCTATTCAGGATCAGAATAGACAGGTTAGATTTTGTTCTGTGAAATTAAAAGTTGCATTGCATGGGTTGTGGTTTTGTGTATGTGTGTGTCGGTAAAATAGATATTGGAAAAAAGAGTCTGTAGGCGTACAGTGTTTGGGTTTGGGTTTTTTTGTTTGTGAAGTTTTGTTGGGGGGGAGAGATAGAATTAGTAAGTTTACTCAAAGCTCCTGCTGTTGCTTTGTGTCATGGAGGTACAGCAGCTGCCTTGAAAGCTGTATTACAAGAGAGTATAAAAATATATTTTTAAGACTGGTAACAGTGGTAACTTTGCAGCTATCGTATTCAGCTTTCTAGAAATGTTCAATAGATAATGATCTGGATACGGTGAAAATGGAGCTATGGAAAGGCTGAGATAGGCAATTTAAACTGCAAGAACAAGCAGTGAGAAGCTGAAGTTCAAGCCAGAAGATGCAGTAAATGAGTGTGATATCCTGGCTTACTAAGAAGATCTATTAACAACAGCACTTCTTTAAGTTGTCAAAAAGTTGTCTATTGAAAAATTCAGTATTCTCATTTCCATTTGGAAGGAGGTGATAAATATCTTCTCAGAAAAGACACACAGGTAAAATTGCTAGGCATAAATCTAAGTCATGCATGTTTTTAATGACTAAGTCATAATATACTGGAAGAACAGAGAGTAAACCTTACAATTAAAAGCTGGAGATCTTGAGACCTCTGGCCTCTGTTAGGCTGTTTAGCACCATTGTGCTAAGGCAGGAGGTCTCAAACAAATCTGCAATGGGTAGCAGTGATTATAAATGAAGGACAAGTATGGTCCAAGACAGAGGTGTTGGTAAATGAGATCATGTATCCAAAACAGCTCAACTGCTACAGAGTCTTTCAAAAAAAAAAAAAAAAAAAAGCTTTATATATAACATAGTCTAGTGGAAAGTGTCCTTGCCCATGGCAGGGGGGTTGAAACTAGATGATCTTTAAGGTCTCTTCCAATAAAATCATTGTATGATTCTATGATATCATCTTGAAGGTTAATATATATTCAGTGAGAAACCTATATATTAATCTCAAACAAAACCCAAGTATTTTTTGGCAAAGAGTCTTTCTCATCTACTTCTCTTGCAGTAAATATTTACCATTGAAAGTACTTTTTCCTTGTGATGCTTGGGTAGCTCAGAACATCCATGCTGTCATTTAGAGGGTCCTTCCAGCTCTTTATCCTATTAGACAGGTGGGCAGCAATGGGTACCTAGTGAGATGTAGAAGAAAGAAGCAAACGAATAGTGATACGTCTGAGCGCTTTCTTTCAATATGCAGTCTCTCAACCAACAAAAAGGTCTCTACATTTATGAATTTTCAGTGAATTTGAAGGTTTTGGTTGGGTTTTGTTTTTGACAAATTTTTCCAGCTGCTCCTTGAAACCAAGTAATTTTTCTGTGTACGTAGTAACCTATTGCAGGCAGTTCTGCAGCTTACCAGAACCTTGTATAAGGAAGTACCTCTATTTTGAACTTGTGGAACTTAAGAGCCTCCTAATTTGACTTAATATCCCTTAGTCTCTTGTGTTGGGAGACACAATGAGCAGTCATTTCTTATTCACCATTTCTGTGTCATTCCTAATTTTATAGATCATGGCCATAACTTAATTTCAGTCTGCTCTTTTTCCTCCTGAAAAGAGCTGGTCAGTCGTCTTGTTCTTCTGTTGCAGCATTTCCCTGCCTATGGCTGTGCTTGTTTCTCTTCTGTGGCTCTGCTAGTTCCACTGTATCATTCCCAAGATGAACAGCAAAGGAGTGCACAGCTTTTAACATGTCATCTCACAGTGAATTTGTTCTGTGGCTTAGTAAAGTGAGAGGCTTTTTCACTTTGGTTTCTAAGAATTCTTAATATTGCATGTTTCTCTATGACTCCAAGTAACTTTCTAAAAGCTACTTGCTCCCTTTTTCCAGATCGTTTATCAGTATGTCGAACAGCACGTGTCTGAGCATGGATCCTCCAGCAACTTTCCTGTCCTGTGGAAACCAACCATTTATTCTTGCCATTGTTTTAATAACTTTTAATCACTTGACCATGTAAAGACCCGTAGGTTTTTGAAAGTGTCTTTGTGGCACCCTGTAATCAGTCTAACTTGGTTTGGAAAAGGTATCCAACATCAACCAAGCTTTGCTCAGTCACATGGTTGTAACCTCAGAAATATTCTGGAGGTTTTGTCATTGTAATTTACCTGTACAGAAAGCTGTGTTGTCTGCTCTGCTGCAATATATAATGCTCATCCAAGTGCCTACTTGTTGTTTTATTACAGTTTCCACTGGTTGAAATTTCTAACCATACAATTGTCTGGCTGGTTGACCTGTAGTTCCCCAGATCTCTTCTGAAGCATCTTTTGAAAGTTGGCATTGCATTGAATACATTCCATTTCCGTCATATTGAGGTGATATTAGGTGAGAGTTTTTGCACTGTAGTTCAGCTTTAGATCTCTTGGATGACTACCATCTGGTCCCAGTGTTTTGCTACTACTTATTTGACTCTTCAGTCTTCTGAGGTTTCACTTTGAGGTAGATATTTTGTCATGTTACCCATAAAGGAAGGTTCTGTCACAGAAGCCTACCCAAGCTTCTCCATAATGAACGAGTGTTTAAAAAAAGCCTCACTGATGCTGTGTTCTCATTCCTTGATCATCTGTTGGCCTACATACTGTCTGGTATGCTTTCTGCCCCTGCAGTTTTTGACAAAGGACAAGTGTCAGTTTTTATACCTCATGTGATTTGCTCCTTGCTTTTGTGTGTGTGCTGCCTTACTGTAGTATTTACTTTGTCTGCTAGAGTTTGGTTCTTTGTATTGTTCACATTTGGATGCAACTTCAGCTCTTTGAAGAATAGTTCCTTATTTCTAATAGTTTCTCTTTACATACTGTTCAACTGTGCTCGCTTCCTTCTGGTCTCTTTAAATTCTTCTTTTAATAGCTGGTAGGCATTAGTTCTTTTTCTCCTACATGGTGTCTTTGAAGTGTCCCTGCATTTGGAAAGGGCTTTACCCTTTGGTGCTCACTTTCTGTTCCTTTTTAAAATCTTCTTTACTCAATATAGCCCTCCTGTTTTATGGCTGAGATCATTGCAGTAAATGTTTTTACGGCTTTCTTTGCATCCTCAACGATGTTGGTGTATACTGCACTATGGTCATTGTTAAAATGTGTATCCTTAGAAAAAACATCTTAAAATCAGGTTTCCTGTGCTGCTTAATTGGCTTTTTTTCATGTGACTCTCTAACATGACTGCTTCATGGTACAAGTACATTGTGTAAAAATGCTGTTTTCATCACATCTTGTTGTGAGATTTACACAGTCAACTACAAGGAGGTGTCTGAAATATGTCATTATTACTGTGCTTCTTCCCCTAGCACCTCTTCAATCTCTGTTACCATTTCATGGTTATTGCATCTTCTGGCTGAGCAGTCAGTAAAGGAGTCCTGGCAGCTGTACTCACCACCACTTAAACCTGGAATTTCAATCCAAAGGATCCTTTAATGCTTG